AAAAAAGTAAAAAAAAGGCAGAAATGTGCTTAAAAAAAAGCCGCACCAAGAAAGAAAAAAATCATTCATCTTTTGAGTATGTTTTCAGAGTGCAGAGTTGTGCATTGATTCGTATCTAGTCCTTAGTGTGGTCGGGTGGTTGCTTGAGCTAGAGTTGAGTCTAGGCTAGGCCAGCACATTGACTAGTACTTTGAACTATTATTCAACTTTGCATTTTCTGATTAGCACAATTGCATTCCTTTGCTACTATATATTGTGCCTCCCAAGCTACACATATATACTTCTGGTCAGCACCGCTTTGATCCTTGCAATTGCCACATCACGTCCTTTAAGGTGTCACGAACCAGCCACCGGTTGTACCGTCCTTAGCATTGCTGGTAAGACACTTGTAAGAGCTTGGTAAGGTGCTCCATTTGGCTGAGTTGTTGAGGGGCACCACTACACCGCGTAGCAGATTATTAGGGATAACCTTCATTATTTGTTGTTGTTTTTGTGTTGGCAATGACAGATATGAGTGGCGCTCAAAATCAGCGATACCAACAAGGTGCACGTGATGACAGTACTTTGGTGCAACGAGTGCTAAGTTCTCAAATGGAAAAAGCGGAGCAATGGCAGTATCACGAATTATTTGAAACAAAGTTTGTGGTTAAGGATAGAGCATATCGTACTATAATCGATAATGAGAGTTGCAATAACTTGGTGAGTTCAGATTTGGTTGAGAAACTTGAGTTGCCTACACAACCGCATCATCATCCATATTACATCAAATGGTTCAACTCTTGTGGTAAGTTCAAGGTAAATAGAATTGTGAGAATAAACTTTTCGATTGAAAATTACCATGATACTGCCAGTTTTGATCTTGTCCCTATGCAAGCATATTCTTTGTTGTTTGGTCAACCATGGGTATATGATAATAATGGTTTGCATAATTTTGTTGCTAATACATACACATTTAGACATAACGGTTGAAAAATGAAATTGGAACCAATGAGTTTTTCTGAAATTTTCGAAGATAATCTTGAAAGGATGAAGAATGGAATCAAAGAAATTTTCAAAGATAGTATTGAAAGGACGAAGAATAGAATCGATGAGATTTTCAGAGATACCAGGAATAATACTAATATTGTGATGCCTTCAACTAAGTCTGAGTTGTTACAAAATGAACGTAATGTTGTGCCTATTGTTTTGGATACTAATATTTTGTAGGCATCTGAGAACAACCAAGTTAGTAAGGAGGAAGAGAAGAAAGATGGAGAGGAAAAAGATCTATCTATAGCTACATGCATGCGGGAAGAATGTTCAATTGACCAAGCACCTATAATTTCTGAAGATGAGAAAAAAAGTAATGATAATGGTGCTACAGCTACTCAAGGTATGCATATTTATGATGTGCCAACTATGTCCACAACTTATGCTACGTTAGAGCAACCCATAGTGGAACCGATTGTTGAAATACCTTTGTCACAAAACAATTTGCTTGATGTTTCTTGTGATAAAGAAGAGTTGTGCGATGCTTCACTTATATCCATGCAACAACTAGTGAATGAACATGTTAGTTCTATAGTAGAGCCACTATGTGTTGAGTTTAAACATGTTATTCACATTGCTAGCGAGAATGAAGAGCCTAAATTGCAATCTTCTTTAAATACTTGGGGTTATATTCAATTTGATGATCTTTGTCCACTCAACTGCTTAGAGAAGAAATTATTTGATAGAGTTGAATTGCCATGCCCTTCTGATGTGATTTTTCATATTATTGGTAATTATGATAGTAAAGGAGAATATAATGTGCATCGAGTATATATTTGTTCGAATTTGACTATACCTCATTTTCATGATAAAATGTATTGTCGAGAGGACCGCGTGCATACAAGTAATTCTCTATCTAGTTCCTCTAGTTGTTTAAATGAGTTAAGGGTTGGTTTGCAAAAAGGGGAGTGTTGTGGTTTTTCGACTACAAAGATTTTAGGATCCAATCATATGGCCATCAAGAAATGTTCCGCACAGGATGTTATGATAGACAAAGATAAGTACAATACACTCCATGACAAGGTGAAACCGAGGACGGTTTCCAATCAAGAAGGGAAGGATGATGAGGACATAACTAGCTCTGATATAACCATGACTACCTTATGTATTAATCAAATAAAGGTGCATATGTTCTACATTAGATTTACTTGTTATATATTTGAACAAACGTTGCTACACAATGAGTTTCGTGTGTTTTCGTTTGCAGAGGTACTTGCTTGGGCGAAGGAAAAGAGACCGAGCGTAACTAATAAATGAATGATTGAAGAAGTTGATTGGGGACCAAACCAAGACCTCTCCAAGTCTACTTCTACCTCACCACGTCACTTTTGGTCCATAGAAGACAAGAGATAAAGTTTTACACGTTTTGGATTCGGATTCAGGCCTCCTGATAGCATCAACTTCAAACGGACCTAGCCGCTGATCTAGAAGGAATTTCGGGGCCCATGAGTACTTGTTGGAAAGCTTATGGAGTCTAATTTCAGATGGTTTTGGTCCCACGTCAAAATTCCTACCGAGCTGCCGGGAATCTGCAAAACAAGCCACGTATCTCATCCAGTCTGAATCTGACTCAGGTTTTGGGCCTTGCAATTGTATCGTGGGCTTAGCCCAAGGGGGTGTGCGCCCTAGGGAAACCTTAGGACGTCCCTAATCATATTAATTTAGTAGCCGTCATCGTTTAGAGTTGGGTTTTGCTTAGATTATTCTGTCCAGAACAGTTTCGCCGCTAGATCGGTTTGTGGAACCTCAAATTCGAGTGCTTAATCATTCATATGCAATTTGGTTGCAATCTATCTTGTTCTTGCTTGTGTTCTTCGATTCACATGCAGGGATTAGCCTTCTCGGCGAGGTCAACCGGGTTTCGGCACGGTTGATAACTAGAGGAGACGTGGTGCTGCGATTGCGGGGCTCAGTAGCGTGTTCGTTCAGAAGCCGGATCGAGTTGTGTCGCGACTCCGCCCAAATCGTTGTTTATTAATACCTATCGGAAGATCGGGACCTAACATCCCTCATCACCACTTGTCTTTCCTTTTTACAACTACCATTCTTTCTTTGCAATCAGTTTTTTTTAGACTGTTACACTTTCTTGCGTTGCCTTTGGGTTTTCCCAAACTCTCGCAGTTTTTTGACCCACTGCTAGCGCTTGACTTTGGATTCTTTTTCTGGCTTGTGCGCTCAAAGTAGCAAGCAAACTCATATCTATTATACTCCTTGGTGACATTGCTTTTTTTTTGCTTGAAATCTTTGTTCCGAAACCCCAGTTCTTTGCATAACGATTGTAGTAATCTTGAGCTTCTTTTTCTGAAAAGAACTCCATACCAACAGTAGGGACTGCAGGTTGAGATTGGACCCCCTCGTCTTTAGTCTCTCCATCTTCACGTCCAAAGTCATCTTGTATTTCAAACCCATCACCTGTATCAATCTGATCAATGCTCATGGCACCTGTAAACAGCCCAGTTTCAAGCAGTACTTCCCTCAACATATCATCATCATGACTTGCTTCCCTCAACACATCATCATCATGACTTGATACTTGCTCCATCTCTCTTTCAACACAAACATCATCCTTGTCACTCTGTTGCTCTTTCATACTTCTTTCACCAAGGACATCACTCCCCTCATTTGGTACCTCTTCCATAATTCTTCCAGCAGATCCAACTGAGGAATTCATTCTGCAGGTAAGAAGAAGGGTCAGTACCATATTCTGACTGAAGACCGAAGATGCATCATTTCTATAATTCTGTTTTCTGTGGACAGTGTATGTCCTACATAACTCAGTTGAGAAAATTGAGATAGTTTTAGATAGTGTGATTTCAGTTGCCAATTCACATGATTAATACATGGTAAGAAGCATTTGTTTCTTTTTTGGCACCATGAATCCTGCTAGTACAACCATGATATACTTGCTAGAATGTGAAATGTACCTCGGTTTTTATTTTTGAACCAGTTTTTATACATACATTCAGCATTTCATTTCATGTTCAAACCAACAAATTGCCGCTAATGATGAATGCACAACATGGTACACAGTGGTTGCATGATGGCACTGCATTTTTCCAGTCAGTTTTTCGACACATAATAAGCAGAACACAAACCATTATAGCTTGAAAAAACAGAGACAAGCTGGTACCTAACTAGAGAAAAAATTGATACCTAAAAGAATAGAAGCTGATACTCTAAAAACTAGTTGAATAGATACCTGTGTGCGGGATGCAGGACGAAATCCGGCGATGGAGGTCGGTGCCTGTGTCGGATTTTTGCCGGGGATTGCTGCGGATAGGTGCACGTGCTGCCGCCGGCGAGGTATCACGCGCAGAAGTGCTAGATTTGGGGGGAAGGGAGCACTTCTGCTCGTTGTTGTTGCAGGCGCCGCCGGGCCAAGCCCTAGTTGAGGGAAGGAGCACCTGCCGGCGAGGTATCGCGCGCGGAGGCGCGCGATACCGAGCCGGGTTCTCATCGGGGGAAGGAGCTCGGAGCGGCGCACGACTTCTGGTTGGGGGAATCGTGTGCAGGAGACAAGGCTTGGTCGGAAAAGGGATCTGTATTAATTTTATCCCGTGACTGCCGTTTTGCAACGGAATCCCGTGGGGTAGCTACCCTCTTCTTCTTCTTCTTCTAGGGGCTGTTTGGTTTCCAGGGACTTATTCCAAGTCCCTGTCACATCGGATGTTTGGACACTAATTTAGAGTATTAAACATACACTAATTACAAAACCCATTTCATAACATTGGACTAATTTGCGAGACGAATCTTTTGAGTCTAATTACGCCATAATTTTGACAATGTGATGCTACAGTAAACTTTTGATAATTATGAATTAATTAGGCTTAAAAAAATCGTCTCGCGGATTAGCTCTCATTTATAAAATTAGGTTTTATATTAGTCTATGTTTAATACTTTAAATTAGCGTCCAAACATTCGATGTGACATGGACTAAGAAAATTTTAGCCCCATCTAAACACCCCCCTAGTCTTCTGCATCGCCTCCTTTTCGTGAGCTTCAAAACAGCGGGGAAGAAAAGAAAAGAAAAATCGATCCAGATCGGAGAAGCCCAGCGCCGCCCCTCCGCCCGCCGCCGCCGCCGCCGCCGCCTCGCGCAGTCGAGCAGCATCACAGCGGGAAGGCTTAATTACCGCCGCTCCACGCGTCGGGCGTCGGCGCCGTGGTCTGATCCGGCGAGTCGGACCAGGGGCCAGCAGCTAGCTGATCCGGGGAGTCGGACCAGGGGGCAGCGGCGAGGCGGGGCCTTCGAAGATGATGTCGCCGAGGCCCTCCGCCTCTGCCGCACCGGAAGGCGGCGGCGGTGCCTCCACCTCCCGCTCGGTGCCCACGGCGAGGTGAGCTTTTCATCTAACCGCTTCCTGCCCGTCGCTCCTGCTCCTCGGCGCGAGATCTCGCTGCTCGTCATTGTCATTCCGCTGGGTGAAATAGCTTAGCCGCAACGCGATCAGTGTTCCATTGGCATTGTTGTCCTGGTAGGAAATTAATTGATTGGAGCGAGCGATTTCAGAGGTTTATTGGCGTTTTGTTTCCAGTATGCACATTTCTCGTACTTCCAGTAACTCGATTCTGCACGCTCCACTAATGAGTTTCTCTGTAAGATCTGGGATAGCTGAAATTCTACTTCATACGCATAATTAGGGAGACGCACAATGAGCCTGTGATTTGTAGTAAATCAGTAGGTTTAAACTGACTAGCATGTAGTTCAAGTGTAGATTTCTCCAACATTGTCCAGTATGTAGGAAAAAAATGGTCAACATATTTGTTCTTAAACTGTATATATTAGTTATATTTCTCATGCGTATTTCTTGTAAAGGTTGGTAGTAGCAAGACAATGTAGCAATGAGATATCGAACACTTTATCCAGATATAGCTGAATTTAAACTAGTTAATGTTCTATTTTAGAAGGCAGCTCGACTTAACTAATAGTGACGCTGTAGATTATAGTATATACAAATTTTACAACAACAATATTTTTGATTTATATTAGAATTGCTATGGACATTGTACTTGATATTTTGACATTTATTGTAACATTTTATTTTGTATCACTTATTTAAATTGTCATTGCTATTAAAAAAATAGTATCTGCTGGTTTCTCTTGCTTGTTCTTCCTTTACTTTACCATACTTTGTATTCCTTTTTAACAGTGAATCATACTCCCTTTTAAAATTTGCCAAATTTTATGAGAGAAAGAAGCCAATGATATACATAGATGAACACCCCATTCTTCTATATACCATCGAGAAACTTGTTTTTTCTTCCTTTTGTACCATTGCCATTACAAAACTGTTAGCCATCTTTCATTAGGCTGGTTGAAATGTCCAATTTACTCATATATTACCACAAAACCGATATTTACCTGAATACAAATGTTTGAAATAATTTTTGGAGGCCATTAAAAGAATGAAGGCACTTTTGCTGCATTCAATTTTAGTTTCATAAGAAAACACATGCCATTGAGATAAATGTCAGTTTTGAGGTAGCTGAGTTGTGTCATTTTACCTTGTTCAATGAAGCACACAAAACTGTTTTATAATGGAAATGGTATAAAGGGTACATAATGAGTTACCTGATGTTATATATTGAAATTGGGCCAATTGTGTGTGATTGACATATGATGAAATTCCTCAAATTTCATTGATGAATGAGAGTGGTCAAATATTTCAAGATTGCTAGCTTCTCAATTCAATTGTTTTTTCTACCCATTTCAGATCTGAAAACACCCAATTTCCCTAATTATTTTTCTCATATCAGATGTTCATTTGGCTTAGCACCCTTAAGATATGTGATATCATTCAGTATAATAGCACGTTTTTGTTAACCAAACTATAATGTTTTCTATTGGGCAGGTCAACACCGTTGCAAGTTATTCATATTTTGGGAAACTTTGCTAGAATTTGGTCTGTGTACTCCCTGTATAACTACCTGTCTAGTAGTGGGGATTCAATGGTCGGCTTCATCTTCAGTTGCCTTGTACCTGCTTCAGTCATCTTCCTGGCTTTGCAGAAGCCTTGGAAAGGCCGGCCTCTGCCCAACACACAGGTTGATTTATACATTTTTTATTTTATTGAGATTATGTTATCTACCACTATAGATTCTTGTTTTTGTTTTATCATTTAGGTTGCATGTTTTATTTCAGGTTGTTCCGACAGTTATCAATGGAGGAATTCTGGCATTGTACTTCGTGCTGTGGGGTAAAGGACTTCTTGCTTGCGGACCACTTGTGTAAGTACACTGTATTTTGTTTCTTTAAACACCCTGAAATATTAAAGGCCTAATTGGTGTTCGTTGTGTTGTGTGGTCTACGGATGTCGGGAGAGCACCTGGTGTCTGGTGCAAACCCCCTCTACATACAATTAATGCAAACCATGCTGTAAGGCAAGGGTGCCTGATCAACTAGAAATTTAACAGCATTAGTTTGATTGGTATCCTGGAAAATATTCACTCCATCTAACCCTTTATGCATGTGTCATGGATTTATGATTGAACAACTGAGGGAATGGGTTTGTATGTTTTTTTTTTTTTTTGCTTGTGGAGACGGTTACACTTAGATGCTCAAATGCTGTTCTAAACCATGGGTGCCTATTTTCTAGGTATCAACCCTGCCTAGCACCTAGTTTCCCTTTAAGCAGTATTTGGTTCCTTTAATCTTGATACTATTTGCAGTAACCATAGAGTAATCTGCTCTAATGTTTCCAATCAAATGGAACCTGGTAGGCTGCCTGTTGCCAGGTGCTAGGCAGTAGGCACTATCCTGTTGCCTTTCTATCACCTTATTTCTGAGCACTTCCATTATAGAACTTAGTTCAATAGTACATATGCATAAATATTTTGTATCGCTCTGAGCTTAATTATACTTCTCAGAGTGCTTCCCAATTTTTTTTTGTATGCATATCTAAGCTGCATTTACTCATGTCTATTGAGTCTAGCGCTCTGCTGGCGGAGTACGCAGGTGCTGTTCTTGGAGTTCTCTCAGCTGCTTTATATGGAAGGAAAGTTAACATATGGAAGAAGGTAAATTGTTGGTATTCTATGAGAAACTAGTATTGTACATTTGTTTTTGCTATTTTTATTTACTGAAATTTATCACTTATTAGGAACTAAGAACTGATTTGTACAAAAATGCACTTTGGCATTGAGTATCGTCTAAGCACTGTTATGATAAACCCTTTTTGTGATAAAATATATGGAGATGACTGAGTTTGTATGTAAGCACAAGTTCTAGCACTTTGTTTATATGCCACTTGGCCATTAAGGGTGCATTTGCCTGGCTGAAGGAGCGAGTCTGTCCCTACTGATGCAAAAATGAGGCACATGCGTAGCTCAGCAGAAATGATTCTCAATTAAGTTTCATTGGAACCTGACCAGGGCGAGTGTGCATTTGCCCACATGGACTGCAATGCATGAGCTTCTTTTGAGGCAATTGGTGGCAGTTTGAAGAAGTCAATTAAACCAAACAACTTCTCCACAGGCCCTGGCTAAGCAGATGGGAGTAACCAAATATAGCAATATTACACAACCAAAACAGGCTCATCTTGGCCAGGTCCAATTGTATGAGCCAGGATAGACCCAATACTTTCAGCATGAAGCTGATACAAAGAGAAGTATACAAACTATGTTGTCATAAGCCCATTTGCTGTGGTTAAAAGATATCACTTCAATTTTTGAAAACGTATAGTGCATTTATATGGGTAATCTGATCGACATAAAGCACAGATGAGGCTGCATGCATGCATGCACGAATCTTGAAGTGAATATTCAGAGGAATACATTCTTCATGGTTTCTTTTCAGGAAAGATAACTGTTAGAAATCTGTGCAAGTGTGATTATATTACTGGATAAACTAATTCTTGTCTATGATCATGTGTAGCAACTATTGAATTTTTTCTGTGAGTTTTTTCTGAATTTCTCAAAACATTGCTCCTATACTGATATAAAAAATGAAGTAGCAAGTCAGCAACCAGTAAGTTCTTCATTAGATGATTTTTCACATCTGTTTTTCCTGGCTTTGTAGATTGGTGGGCTCGCTGCTATGCTGGTAGCATACTATCTCTTAGGAAATGGATGGGCTACAAGAACACATTCACCACTATGTATCCTATTTTGCAGATCTGATTCTGAAATAACACGCTGCAAAATTCTATCTTTTTTGTCAATTAAGACTTCCATCCAAATTTCTTATGAACTCAAGTAAATGATGTTGAAAATCCCTCACTTTGTATAGATAGCTTTGGAAGTGAATCACTGGAGAAGGGAACACAAGTTATTGGAATGAAAGAAATGGTGGTCCCACTTACTGCTGGAATTTTATCTGCTTTGAGGAGAGTATTAGCTCGGCGGGTGTCCCTTAAGGTACTCTTGATTTCATTAACTTTATCAATAATGATAAAGTGTTAATTATTTTCCTTAAGAAATACTATAGTTACAGGCAGTATCCATAGTAACCAGGATAGTCATTCTACAGAAGGTAATTAGCATGCAACGAGACAGATCATTTTCTGCAGAGTATAAAACATTGTGGAACATGAACATCGATGAAATTTCTATCGATTCAATATGCAACCACATCTGATATGCACTTTTTGCAATGTTTAAAGTTCTCCCTCTGGCACCTACTTACTCTGTTGATGATATCGTGGAATTTGAAGTATTGCGGCAACTGTTTCTCAATATCAGAATCTACAACTTAAGTGTACTTAAAGTATGGGGCAAATCCTCCATACATCTTTATACTATCAACTTATTTTGAGTCGTAAGCATAGTACAAAAACTCGGACCGGAGCTCAACCCGGTCAAAGCTTTCAGTTCACCGGTACGGCGGTGAAACCGGCCGGTCTGCCGGTTCATGTGCTGAACCGTCAGTCAATAAAGTGATGCGTGTTTTTGTTCTAACTCCCTGTCTGCGTGCGCTATTGTGTTTTTTTTGTGTAAATAGCACATCTGAGATGGTAATGGGCCTTGATTTGGCCCAATAAGGAATGTACAGCCCAAAATTTCTTGTGCTGTTGGTCCAACAGGTGACAGTTTAATCCCGATTCATGGTAAAACCGTGCATTTCAGGCAGTTCAGACTTCAGAGTAGGTCAATTGCATATCCGGTCTTCCCATAGAACCAAACCATGGGCAACACTGGTTCCCTTTTTTTCCGGTTGGATCGCCGGTCCGATCTGGTTTTTACGCTATGGTCCTAAGTTACAATATAGAATTTATATGTGAAATTAAGGGAAAAAGTCTATTTTACCCCCCTAAACTTTTTCGCTGGAGCACTTAATCCCCTAAACAATTTCTCGGCTCATTTTACTCACCGAACTATTGAAAATGTTGTCTTACTCCCTCACGATATTTATCTTTTTTGTTTATCTCTATATAGGTCAAATTTTGCAATGAAATTTGGTGGGATTGATATATGCATTATAACTAAGTCTCAACAATTTATTGGCATTTTTAATCGCTGTTTACATAGGTTGCAAGCATTGAGACTAATTTAAACATATAGGTTTAAAATTTTAAGAAAATAGTCATGAAAAAATATTGAAACTATTTTAGAACTTTGATAATGGTGTCATCTATGGCTCTTCAAAATATAAGCTTAAAATACTACTCATATAAAGAGAAACAAAGAAGAGAAATGTAATTAGCCAGTAAAGTGAATCATTTCTAACAGTTTAGGGGTTAAAATGAGCAGAAAAATAGTTTAGGGGGTTAAGTGAAATAGTTCGAGGGAGTAAATTGGACTTGTTTTTCAAATTAAGGAATCTCTTATGAATCTGTTTCTATCATGACTATTCCATGCGATATTGAGATCCCTGATCATGTGCTGTTACTGCAGCTTATTGGGATATATATACTACTGCTATCCTTAATTTATGCTGAGAAGTATTTGTGGAACTGACAGTTGCCTATTTTGTTATTCCGCAGAATCAACTTAAAAGGCGACTTCATGCAATTAATGTTGCTTCTGCTACATGTTTTCTTTTTCCTTTTGCAATGTGGGATACAATCCTGGTGAGTATACCTTGTCTATGCCCTAGCATGTAATATCTGTTTGCTGCAAAGATTGGCATTTCTTTTTTCTTCTCTTTGATATATAGTGATAAATGTTCTGTTGATCACAGGGCTCGGCATCTGACAGCATAGTTAAACTGCAGTTTCCAAGCTGGGCGTACTTGAGTACTGTTTTGTTTGGAATGGTGCTTATATTCTATGTTGACAATGTTGCCGAGGAAAAGTAAGATTTTTCTTACAGATGGGTAATCTCAACTTCTATTAAAAGGGAAATGTAAAAATTGCTCAAATCCTTCCATCAGTTGTCTTCTGTTAATGTAATTGACCAGGCTTAATTATTTTGTTTATCACTAATCTAACTGATCAGAATCTGAGCAGATTATGAATTTAACTTAATTAATATCTCTTAAATTCTTCATGTGTTCCACATAAAACTTAATATCTCTTAATATCTGACGTTCTTACTAAACACAAAGACATAACAACTTGTTTAGCGAACTCCCATTTTGTTCATGATATAATGTCTCTAATTTGTTGATTGTTTTATTATTCTCTCGGGCAGATTGCATCTGGTCTTCTCTTCTCCAAGACATCTAATGGTTTCAACAGGTTGCATCATTGTTTTGGAGATACTGTACAAAATGGATTTCTCCCTTTTGGGCTTTCTGCTTTGTTCAGTGATTTTAGGATTTGGTGAGTTTTGAGGTCTCATCCTTTATATATTCATATGTGATATGTAAATTCTCACAAACTATACTGTGTCAGTTGTATAACATTTGGTTGTTCCTAATCTAAATATTATATTTCTTTAACTGGTAGTTGCCTCCCCAGAAATTTAATGATATACCATTGTTCTTTTGTTTCAGTGCAAATTGCTTAGTGAGAAATGTGTTCTTTTGTAGGCATTTTTGAAGCAACATCCTTGGAGCGCTCGAAGAAAAGTCCTTTGGAGGCACATGAACTATCAAATGGATCATTTCACAACCAGTTGCCAATTTCTGCACTTCCAAGCTAAAAGTATTAAATCGGGGTAAGTTGCACCAAAAACCTTGGGTTCTATTGAGTGTGATATCAACCTACTATGTTTTGAATGAGGTTGTTATATACAGTAACACTAAGATCTCAGCTTCAAAAAATAGAGTTGCTTGGTATGCTGTTTGAAATTGAATTAGTATCGACTTCCATATGTTGGGTTTCAGTCATGGGGTGGAAAAAAGAACAACAGAGAAGCCTTGAATGTTAAACCAGTTTGTCTACTCATCTCATTAACACTATGATGCTAATTTGCCCTCTTATTCTGCAGCTATAACATGCGGACATGCATACTGTTGCACATCTCAAACTTGTGGTTTCAATCCACTTTTTTAAGGCTTCAACCACAGATAGCTTTGGGTATTTCGACCTTCAAATTTTGCCTGTGAATCTGTGATCCTCCATTGACATTAGTAGTGCTGCTGTTCGTCGCTGCAACGCCCTGTAGATGTATATTCATGTTTGCAACGCAGTTCACTCGATTGCCCCAAAAAAAAAAAAATATCCCTCTCCATCCTCTAGCTATATGATTATTGCAATCACTCAGTTGGACCTCCTTTTTTCCTATGGATTTGTAACCCATGTGTAAAATGAAGATTACCCCTTGCCCGTGTACACATTCCACCTCGATTGAATTCCGACTTCGGAAAGCAGCCAGCATAGCATGCTGCTTTCATGGGTTATGCAAAAATTTTGTTCTATGAAATTCTGAATTTTTACCTGGATTGTCAAGCATGGGGACAACATGCTTGGATGGAGATCTCAACATAATTAAGTCGTAAAAACAAAGTGTTTTGTCCATTTACATCCCAGATGATCTAGGTTGCCTCCGGTCACAGTTTAGTTCTGTTTTGAAATACGTGCAGTCAATATGTTTAAACTTTGACAATAATTTTTACTTTAAATATTTCGATCCAATTATGAAAATCTATTTTGTTAGATTTGCCTCCAAAATTGTACCAAAATCTTATACTCTGCCATGCATTCTACAAAATTTATACCCTTTGCCATACATTATAAAAAATCTATACTAATAAACCAAATGCATTAGTTCCGTGTGGTTGTCTAAAACAACACTTATTTCAGATGGGAGATAGTATTCAATTGAGTAAATTGTGTTGGTGGTTCATAAACTTGTCAGGTGGGTGCGTGCAATTTAGAACAAAACTTGTAAATGCTCATTATGGTATATGAACTTGTCTTGTCTAGTCCGAGTGAACCAAGTCTGAAATGATACATTGTGACTAATCATGTTGAGTTAGAGTTTAATTAGGATGTCACACGTATAAACTAGCACATGAGACATATCTTATGTGTAAATAATGTTTATTTATTTATTTATTTTGTTCTACCATACTTTGTATCTATTGCATATTCCTTTATGTTTTATATACTTTTTCTATGTACGCTCAACATGACTTACTCTATGATTGAGTATATGTTTTTTTTTTCTAAAGAACCAGGAGCTTTGGTATTTTAGTTGATAGGAGAAAAAAATTCGAAAGTACATAGTATTACCATGCGCCAAGGCGGCAGTCATGGAAAAAAAAAACTATAACGAGCTAATCTCCTATGAAAAATGGAGCCAAAAACACAAACCGCACAACTTAGTTAAATTAGTTATAACATGCTTTTTGATTTTAGTTTGCAAGCCCTAGATAAATTTGTGCATCAAAACAATTAATTTATAAATTTATACGCTAAATTATACCCACATAGTAAATTCGTATACTGATGTACTCTATTTAAATATAAAGCTTGAAATTTAGTCCTGCTTTACTCGATAGCAGTCGTGTTCACCACTGTTCATGCCCTTGTGACTCGAATGTAGCTAGCCATTAGAATCTTATCTTTTTCAAGATGGCAACTGGCAACATAAGATCGAGCCAATAGCTAGCCCCTCGCTGTAATAAGGCAGTAGAATTGCACCTCGCCGTAAGGTGTAAGCTAGCTTGACTGTATTTGGACTCAGAGCTATCACCGTTTGTTGTCCTGCAGCACCTGTACCTGTTACCCTCTGTCATATTCTGCGATTGTCTCCTATGACGCCTGTTAGGGCTCCTTTAAATCGTAGGAATAAAAAAACAGAGGAATAGAAAAAACATAGGACTCTGACAGGAATACAATTGTAAAACAGAGGATTGCAAAACACAGGAAAAATACAGGAACGACCGTTTGATTGGACCACAAGAAAAACGCAGGAATTAGATGAGAAAGATAGACTCAGAGAAAATGTTTCAAGAGGTTAGACTTCTTGCTAACTTTCCTCCAAAATGTGCATAGGATTACCCATTCCATAGGAATTTTAAAAGATTGAATAGGATTCAATCATTTGTTTCAAATACCTCCATAGGATTTTTTTTTCATAGGATTAAAATCCTCCAAAATTCCTACATTTTCCCTACAAATCAAAGGGGCCCTTAAGATTGGGGTTCATTTCATTAGCATGTGTGCCTTAAATCAATCCATTATCGACCAATTTTCCCCAATCAGTTCAAGGGCAAAAGAGTCTAAATCTAATTTGCATAATAAAGTAAAATTCATATGGACCTAATTAAGTGACATCAACATCAGTAAACTTTGCATAATAAAAGCTAAGGAAAACCATATCCATTTCAAACGAAACTAAAAAGAATGTTCTAGAGTGTTGTTTGTTCAGTTTTGAACTTTTTTTTCCATTTGAAATGATCTTCGAGCACGGTTTAAGAGGCAATCTAAATAAATATATAGTTGTGTAATTGTATTGTTAACTAGCATATTGCCTGTGCATTGCAACGAGGTTTTAATTGATTATTAACCTACTATTATCATTGTTTTTTAATACATCATCACTTAAATTTTAAATACATTTTTTTGATGGGAAAATTTTATTTTATTTTTTAAATATATTTGTAACTAATATGTGGACCCTATGATATCACAATATATTTTTTCTTCACACAAAAGAAATAGAGATGATGGGCAGGGATGAAAACTGAGCGGATTCTTTCTATCCGCTCTGGAGGAAAAACGAATATGGATATCTTTCGGAGCAAATAATTCCTCAAATAGTTCAGATACGAATACGGGTACATATATTTTCTCCCGGATACAAATACAAATATGGTATCGGGGTTTTCGACGGATGCAGATAATAATACGAATATCCGGCGAATAGTTTCGGATATCCGCTGAAGCCATGAGACCCCATTTCTTTACAGCTCTATGACCTTCAATATAGCTTTTTAGATTTTAATAGTAGCGCACCTCTTAACACTAGTCCACACTATTAATATTATTTAAACTTTTAAATATTTTGTTAAATTATACTATATTTTATATAAATTGAGCTAATTATATATGATGATGTTTGTTTCTATTAGAAGTTGAGGTGGTTTTCGTGTTCCGAGAAAAAAATATTTCCGTACTCATGTCCGATCATATTTGATCCTAATTCGTATTCGAGATAATTCGTATTTGTTTCGGTATCTGAGCTATTCATATTTGTTTTCCATCTGGCAAAAAAAAAAAGAAAATGAAAATGAAAACAAACATGGTATGAGCATTATCCGTCCGCATCCACTCCGTTTTCATCCTTAGTGGTGAGGGTAGTTGATATCTGGGTTCTTTGGCCCCATATGTCTTTTATTCACCATTACTATTCCTTTTTAAATGAGTATAGACATTTCTAAACAATGCAAATGTGCAGGTTAACAACTAGCTATAGACATTCCTTGGCAATATATTAATAATGAACACGCTTTTAAAACATTTACTTTTAGAATTCGGTATAAATTGGAGTAGAGAATAGAGGAGAAAATTGCCCCAAATATTTTGCGCTTGTATAGTATTTTTGTTCTGGCTTGTTCTTTTGTTTTCTGCTTAAAGGGGCATGCGCTTGAGATCTTAAGGTGTGAACCAACATGTTCCACATCAAATAGATTTATTTTAAAAATGAACAACTCTGAGATTTTCATTTACTACCATTGATCTGACATACTATTCCCTCAAGTTCTTCATTTCTTATCATTTTGGACATGATACCCATATTAATTAGGGTGTATATTATTTATTCTACCCATATTAAATACCTTGAAGTGGTATATTTAGAGATCTGAGAGTGTTATGTTTAATTGGCTTAGGCTTTATTTGTTCGAGATTTTTGGTAGGAACTAAACAACAGCACACAAAATATGAAATGCCATTATGATATGATTAATTAAGTATTAACTATGATAAGTTTTTAAAATAGATTTATTTGTTTTTTTAAAAAGTTGTGTATAAAAAGTTTTTAAAAAACATATCGTTTAGCAATTAGAAAAATATGCTCATCGAATATGAGGGAATAACTAAGCCCAAAAAACTCAGAAGAGCATTACTATTGGAATGAAAGGCCCAGTTCCGATTTAATGAGAATTTTACAACTTCGCTGCTAATAGGTTTTTTTTTTTCACTGCATGGCGCATAGTTGGAAATAATAACACCATTAACTACAAAGGGCAATCTCGACCTATACCGGCCACCACTAAAACTCTTCAACGACAGTCGACGAGAATTCTCATCCACCGCAACAAAGAAAGCTTATTCAACCACTAAATTAAGCTGCTATTTTTTTTTTGTCTTGTGTTTATACTTTTCTTTTATTCTTAAGTCCAAAGTCAAAGTCATAATCACTTACAGAGCGTGCAGAAAAAAAAAGAGGAAAATAAGGTGGCCTATCATGACTTTTGTTGGGAAAAATTGACAGGTGAAAGAGCTGTGATAAAGAAGCAAGCCGCTGCAGATTGAATTGCTGGGTAGGATATTTCTAGGCTGGGGCCATAAGACAGTTCTGCAATCTTCAGCTCGTGCTGGGTGCTCTTGCATCTCGGATTTGCTATCAGCAACCAACACCATGTCCTCCAGTACGTTAGTGCTCCTGCAGCTCCTATACCTTATTAGCCTTATCCTACCAGCCTTCTCTGCCAACGATGACAACCAATTCGCCTACTCTGGCTTCTCTGGTGCTAACCTGACCATGGATGGTGCAACTATCACATCAGGTGGCCTCCTAGAGCTCACCAATGGCACAGTCCAGCAGAAGGGCCATGCATTCTACCCGGTCCCGTTGCGCTTTGTCCGATCACCCAATGGATCAGTGCTCTCCTTCTCGGCATCCTTCGTATTCGCCATCCTATCTGTCTACACTGATCTAAGTGCTCATGGCATGGCCTTCGTCATTGTGCCAAGCATGAACTTCTCAGCTGCGTTGCCTGGCCAATTCCTGGGCCTCGCCAACATCCAGAGCAACGGCAATAGCAGCAACCATTTCTTCGCTGTCGAGCTCGACACCATCCAAAACAAGGAGTTTGGCGACATCAATGCAAACCATGCCGGCGTCAACATGAACGGTCTCCGATCAGAGCAGTCCTACTACGCCGGCTACTACGATGACAAGGATGGTAACTTCCATAACTTGAGCCTGATTAGCCGTGAGGCCATGCAGGTGTGGGTGGACTACGATAGCAACAACACGCAGATCACTGTGGCCATGGCTCCCATCAAGGTTGCGAGACCCATGAAGCCATTGTTCACAGCCAGCTACAACCTCACATCTGTGATTACAGATGTTGCGTATGTTGGTTTCTCCTCTGCAACTGGCACAATCAACGTGCGGCATTGTGTACTCGGCTGGAGCTTTGCGATAAATAGTCCTGCTTCAGCCATTAACTTAGGTAAGCTACCAAAGCTGCCACGCATGGGCCCAAAGCCACGATCGAAGGTATTGGAGATTGTTCTACCAGTAGCAACGGCAAGTTTTGTCCTTACTGTGGGCATTATTGGTCTTGTACTCATACGAAGGCATATGAGGTATACAGAACTGCGCGAAGATTGGGAGGTTGAGTTTGGACCGCACCGGTTCTCTTATAAGGATCTGTATCATGCAACTGAAGGATTCAAGAATGAGAATCTGCTGGGTGTAGGAGGATTTGGGAGAGTATATAAGGGTACCCTTCCAGTGTCAAAATTGGAGATTGCAGTAAAGAGGGTGTGTCATGAATCAAGGCAAGGAATGAAGGAATTTGTTGCCGAGATTGTTAGTATTGGTCGTCTCCAACACCATAATCTCGTGCAATTACTTGGCTATTGTAGAAGAAGAGGTGAGCTGTTCTTAGTGTATGACTACATGCCAAATGGAAGTGTTGACAAATACATACATAGTATAGAGGGAAAAACCATTCTAACTTGGGCCCAAAGGTGGCATATCATCAAAGGCATTGCATCTTGCTTGGTCTATCTCCACGAAGAGTGGGAAAAAGCTGTTATCCATCGGGACATAAAAGCTAGTAATGTTCTTCTTGATGGCGATATGAACGGACGACTTGGTGACTTTGGCCTTGCAAGATTGTATGATCATGATGATGACCCACAAACCACGCATGTGGTTGGAACAATAGGATACCTAGCTCCAGAACTAGGACACACTAGCAAGGCGACCCCTCTTACTGATGTATTTGCTTTTGGCATGTTTGTTCTCGAGGTTGCCTGTGGGCAGAGACCCATCAATCAAAGTTCACTTGATAGCCAAACGATGTTAGTTGACTGGGTGCTTGAGCAATGGAACAAAGGATCACTAGTCAGTACAGTGGATAGCAGGCTTGAAGGAAATTATAATGTTAGAGAGGCAGTTTTAGCTATAAATCTTGGACTTTTATGCTCTCACCCTTTTGCTAATGCAAGGCCTTCTATGCGGCAGGTCATTCATTACCTTGATGGTAGCATTCCATTACCAGAGATGTCACCAACAGATTTGAGCTATCATATGATGACAATAATGCAAAATGAAGGGTTTGACGAGTACATCATGACAAGTTCATCGATGGTAAGCAATGGCACTGCATCTGCCATTTCAAACGGAAGATGACATGAATTATGGTCATCAGATATGAATGCACTGTTCTTTTCTTACTCCTTTTGTAAAAACTGCTTTCCTTGTATACAGAAGGATCTTTTTGCTAGGTGAGAATTGTATGTGATTGTAAGTTTTTACAATATTTGTGTAAAAACATGTAAACAGTTTGTTTATAATGAATTTAACTATTTTTATACATAATAGAAGAGTTGCTCCAAACAGCCTCTGTATGAATTTAACTCATAGTAGCCAATATAAGCTCTTGTGGTTGCTTAACTGAAGCTCAAGCCATCCGTGCATGGAGCTGAGATGTGAAAGAGAGGTGATTGTAAATCATCTTTAGCAAAATGTCTCTGCATAATACATATATAGTTTTTCTATTGAATATAAACATTTATGCACTATTAATTATAGGGTATAGGTAAACATTTCCATTATTGTTTGGACATCACCACTATAGGTAGATTGTATATGCACTAGTCCAATCACGTGATAGAACTGTCATGGGGCAAACGTGTCAAGTATCGAGAGTGCCCGTGCTCACCTCACACTTGTACACTTGTATCACGTGCTCTGGACGTACTTGGACTGGCTGTGGAAGTTCAAGCACGCAAAACTAGTAGCATGTGCAGTCGTAACTTACACCACTAGACTACCAAAGGGTGTGCACATAGGAATGACAATAACGTCGCCAAGGCTGGTAGGTTCATATAATGATGCATTTAGAACACACCATTTTGGAATTAGCTACCTACACCAGGCAGGTATGGGGTAATGTCCACCATAAGCTGAAGATTTCGCATGCTCCTCCTCTGGTGACCTATTATTCTGGTGGTTTGATTCTCGTCGCCTTCTTCCAACAAAGTCCAGTTGCGCTGGCTAGCTTTGATGCTGTTCTTATTCTGATTTCGTGGCTGGTGTGGAAAGAGTGAAATGCTCAGGCATTCCAGCAGCACGTCTGCAGGTTTGCGTCGCAAGTGGCTCAAGCGATCTGGGAGGAATGGGAATGGTGCAACTGGCCTGGGAGGATACTGCAGCAGGGCTCCTTTCTTTGTGTAGCTAGATTGGGTGCAGTAGTGCAGGCTTTACCCCTTGTTCTTATGTAAGTCAATCACAACAACCGTATTTGTTGTTTAAACTTCGTACATCCTCTACATTTTTTTCCCTCACTCTTAATACAATCTGGCATTCCACTGGCCGGACCGACGAAAACAAAACATTTTGGAATCTGTACATTTATTTATACACACACATATATAAAAGCCTAAAGTAGGTATTAATTAATTATAACTTGTGACCGTACATAATCGTAGGTACTATATATGATTGTAATATTTTACAGAACCTCCTCACATATATAAAATATCATGTTTGGCCCATATTTACTTAAATTTCATGTTAGAAAAGTGTCCATGAAATTCAGTTGGTTTCTTGGCTAAGATCATTGGTTCAACTCATATTACTTTGAACAATATAGCTAGTGATTCAGTATATGCCAAATTAGTTCAGTACGCCAAATTCATATTATTCCCTCCGTTTAGATCATATACCCTTCGTTTATATCAATAATCTGAGGATTTACCCTCCTATGCAAATGACATATATAGGGGGGGGGGTTACTGACATGTGGGTCCGGAGGGTAAATCATTAATTGCAATCTAAAGAGGATATGTACAATTAGGCCCCTTTGAATCGTAGGGTAGAAAAAATAGAGGAATAGAAAAAACACAGAGAATTGCAAAACACAGGAAAAATATAGGAATGGTCGTTTGATTGGAGCGCAGGAAAAAACGCAGGAATCGGATGAGAGAGATAGACTCAAAGGAAATTTTCCAAGAGGTTGGAGCTCTTGCTAAATTTCCTCCAAAATCCACATGCAATGTGTGATTCCATAGGAATTTCATAGGATCTGGAAAGCTTCAATCCTTTGAATCAAAGGGCCAAATAGGAAAATTTCCTATAGGATTTGAATCCTATGAAATTCCTATATAAATCCTTTGATTCAAAGGGTCCTTACATTTTACTTTCTACTTCTCCAGATATTTGCTGTCCAGTCCTTAAAAGTTTGGTCCCTACATGGAACAGAGTTCCTACAAAATATCAACTTGAAGCTAAGTCATTGAAGTTACCTCACGTTAAGGCAATATATCTGAGGTCAACATCGAAGAAATCCTGTCCTACTAACTGAAAGGAACTCCCGTGTATTTTTTCCCTTTTCGTTGTCGTCCATATACTTATTCTGCAATATTGACGTATCGAATACTTTTGATCACCGATGACATTTCAACGCCGTAAGAAATATGTTCACCTTGGGTGTGTTTAGTTCACGCCAAAATTGGAAGTTTGATTGAAATTGGAACGATGTGACGGAAAAGTTGAAAGTTTGTGTATGTAGAAAAGTTTTGATGTGATAGAAAAGTTGGAAGTTTGAAGAAAAAGTTGGGAACTAAACCAGGCCCCTTTTCCATGGAAGAACACAACTGAGCTGTCCAAATCAAGAAATCAATTTCCACAAAGACAAAACCTGTCACATGGAATTGAAGGTGCCAGGTGAAGTTTCAAAGTTAGGCAGCACCTTGTAAGTCGCATGGAATCTGATGGTCCTTTTGTGGTATTCCATTCTCGCAATTAATTTCTATGGAATAATTTGTTATGTGATGTCAACATCTTCTACACTAGCACAGATTCTTACATCTGTAACGGGTCCAATAAAACCGTTATAGATTATGTCATCTGTAACGGGTGACATTGGCAACTGTTATAGATGACCAGAACATTCTTGAGCTGTTACTGAAGCCGCCTTATCTATAATGGCTCCTAATCAAGAGCCGTTACAGATGTAAGCTCCTTTATCTGTAATGGCTTCCTCATTGCCCCGGCCGCACAACCCTTCCCCCTCCCGCTCTTCCGTGCCACCACAGTCCACATCATCATTACATTCCTGCAACGCGACGTCGATGTGCTGCCGTGCAGTGGCCATCGGTAGAGCAGGGATGGCCGGAGTAGCAGGAGGCTAGCAGAGATGAAACCAGATTGGATGTTTTTTGTTCTTTCTATTATAAATCTCCACATATGTAACAGCTTACGAGTTTAGTTTATATTTTTTTTAAGCTGAATTTTCACATATGTAACGGCTCCACGTTTTGAGCCGTTACAGATAACTTTCATCTATAACGGCTCTCTAGCCCTTACATATGAGTCTTCACGTCTGTAACTGTTGGTCTGTAATGGTTAGTCCAACCATTATAGATGTGATTTTTGAGCCCTTACAGATGTAGTGTTCTGTACTAGTGTATAATTGTACCTTAAACCACTGTAATAGTTTGAATAGGTCAATGTTTTATTAAATTTGATTTCTCTAAATAGAAATTTGATTGTAGATTTTTTTAGAAGAGATGCAATACATTCTAATAATTAAGAGTGTTTTTTAAGAGTTACCACCCTTTTTAGTACAAATTTGTGCACTAAGGTGGTGACCATAAAAAACGTAGTAATTAGATAGTGTAAACCAGAAGCTTATCAAATCCATATTATGCTGTATGGGTAGAAAGATATTTGCAGCACAGACTGATGTCAGGTCATGTTTCTTCTTTCAAAAAAAAAAAGTCAGGTCATGTTTTGCCAAAAAAAAAAAAGAAAGAGGAAAAGCCCCAACCCCCTAGGATGCAGACAGATATATAATCAGAGAGGCATAGAGGGGAAGAGAGAGGACCCAAAGTATCCATGGCTTCTATGTCTTAAACTTTGTCTACTCAATGAGCTTCAGACATGTCTTGGACAAAGCCCATGTCCTCCCTCCTATGCACCATCCTCTCCCTTGTTCTTATCCTTGAAGCTTTCACAACTAGCCATGGCGAGTTCGTCTACCATGGCTTTTCTGGTGTTAACCTCACCCTTGATGGAAATGCCATGGTCACACCAGACGGCATCCTTGAGCTCACCAATGACACAATTAATCTAGGACACGCATTTTATCCAACTCCACAAAACTTCCGTAAATTTTCCAACAGCACAGTGCAATCATTCTCACTCAGCTTTGTGTTTGCAATCCTCTCAGTGCATGATGATATAAGTGCAGATGGCATGGCCTTCTTTGTTGCTCCAAGCAAGAACCTTTCCAATACATGGGCACAGTATATAGGTCTCCTCAATAGTAGGAACGATGGCAACAGAAGCAATCACATGTTCGCGGTCGAGCTTGATACTACCCAAAATGATGAGTTCAAAGACATCGACAACAACCACGTTGGAATCAACATCAACAGCCTCATCTCTTTGCAAGCTCACCACACTGGATACTATGATGATAAGAGTGGTTTCTTCAACAACTTGACTCTGATCAGTGGCAAGGCCATGCAGGTATGGGCTGACTATGATGGAGAGTCTGCACAAATCAACGTTACCTTGGCTCATCTTGGAGCACCCAAATCTGTAAGACCACTGCTTTCATCTTCCTATAACTTCTCAGATGTTCTTAGAGATCAATCATACATCGGTTTCTCAGCCACAACAGGTGCGATTAGCACAAGACATTGCGTACTTGGCTGGAGTTTTGCTATGAATAGTCCTGCTCCAGCTATAGACATCTCCAGACTCCCAAAGCTACCACGCCTTGGCCCAAAGCCTCGTTCCAAGACCTTAGATATCACCCTGCCTATAGCCACAGCAATATTTGTCCTTGCTGCTGGTACCGTTGTTGTTTTACTTGTTCGTAGAAGATTGAGATATATGGAGCTACAGGAAGATTGGGAGGTTGATTTTGGGCCACATCGATTCTCCTTCAAAGACATGTACCATGCTACGGAAGGGTTTAATAAAAATAACTTACTAGGAGTAGGTGGGTTTGGCAAAGTTTATAAAGGCGTTCTTCAGAAGTCTAAAGTTCCAGTAGCTATTAAGAGGGTGTCCCACGAGTCTACACAAGGGATGAAAAAGTTCATTGCTGAGGTTGTCAGTATTGGTAAGCTCAGACACCGCAACCTAGTGCCTCTACTTGGTTATTGTCGGCGAAAAGGTCAACTCCTTCTAGTATATGACTATATGTCAAATGGCAGCCTTAATAAGTATTTGTATCCTGAAGATGGAAAACCATCATTGAATTGGGCTGAGAGGTTTCATGTCATCAAGGGTGTCGCATTTGGCTTGCTCTATCTCCATGAGAAGTGGGAAAAGGTTGTCATACACCGAGATATTAAACCAAGTAATGTTCTTCTAGATAGTGAAATGAATGGAAAATTAGGTGACTTTGGTCTTTCAAGGTTATATGACCATGGGACTGATCCACAAACCACTCACATGGTTGGAACCATGGGGTACTTAGCTCCAGAATTGGTACGCACAGGGAGAGCATCCACTTCTACAGATGTCTTTGCATTTGGCATATTTCTTCTTGAGGTCACCTGTGGGCAAAGACCTATTAAGAAAGACTCACAGGGAAACCAGCATAGTTTGTTCGATTGGGTTCTTCAGTTTCTGCATAATAGCTCACTAATCGAGGCCATGGACAGTAGACTCCAAGCTGATTTTAATATCGATGAGGTTTGTCTTGTCCTAAAGCTAGGTCTTCTATGCTCACACCCATTTACTAATGCAAGACCTAGCATGCAGCAAGTCATGGAGTACCTTGAAGGTGATACACCAATACCAGAGATTTCATCAAGGCATTTTAGCTTTACTATGCAGGCTTTGATGCAGAGCAAAGGATTTGAATCACCAGACATGTTATGCCCACAGTTTACGAGTATTGGCACATTCTCTGAACTGTCAGGGGGAAGATGATATACTAGAAGCTATGCAGAACTAAGAACATCAGAAAATCATATTAGGATATACATGTACATTTTTCTCAACCAGAAATCTGTAAACCGGAGAACAGTTTGTAGTGACATAAAAATAGCAACAAATGCTATGTAAAATGTTTTCACGTTTCTTTTTCTAGAACTTCTTATGAAAAAACGAAGTGTATTTACTGTTTGTTTTTGTTAAGATTGGCTAGAAAGCTGCCTCACTTCATTAGTTCATTGTACTGAATAGATCTCTGGAGGACTGAAATATATGCAAAGATTCAAGAATTTTAGGTTAATAAATGGTTGGAAGCATATATGCATTGTCGCTCTTAGAAGATAAAAACAGCGAATTGTTATAGTAATCAAAATTTTAGGTTAACAAATGGTTGAAGAGCAATGCTCCGGTGCTTTCTACTTGGAGTATTATACTACAAGTAGAATTAATCTTGACCATTCATTTTAAAGGGTAGATTAGTAATCTCCTAATATATATTAGGGGCAATTTTGGCAGGATCTATTTTATCTGTCTCGGTCGGTCTTGGCTTGATCGCATCAGGTCCGACGAAAAGCACCGCATCTCGCCCAACGCACGTTGCTTATCGCTACTCCTCCCGGCACGCCGTGGCGCGGTGCGGCGAAACCCTCAGGCGTCCCCTCCTCCCACCTCTCACCTGTCTATCCGTTCCTCCTCTCCTGTATTCCACGTCGGCATCCTGGTTCGCCATCGTGGCCTTCTGTCCGCTGCGAGTGGCCTTCCGCGCGCGTCCGATTCCGCCGGAGCCCCTGCGCAAGACCTGAGATTCTTGGCAGCGCCCACTTTGGAGGATTCAATCCATTCCGCTGGCGGGTAGTGATCTCCATTCCGTGTTGCTCCGATTGTGTGGGCTACGGCCACTTGGGAGGCAGCTGCGATACATTCCGGCGCCGTATCCCCGGTCCCCCTCCGTGCGTGCCCGAGTCTTGTGGCTTGCATTGGCGAGCACCTCCTCGACCGCGAGCACGGCATGAGATGCAGAATATGCAACAGTGTCGCTCGCTGCGTGCTGCCGTGGAAGGCGTCGCCGGCGAACCTGATAGACCGCAATGCTCAGAGGTTTCAGCACATCCGTGCTCGCGGCGGCGTCAGGACACTGGATCGGACGCTGAACGATGCATGCGGCATGCCCGATCTGCTAGCTCAGGATGGTGGCCGGCGACTGTCCGCACGCTCTCCTGCGGGCATGACTTCCACGAGGATTGCAACATCGCGAAGTGGCTCCGTGACAACAAGAAGGCCTGCCCAGTTCATTCTGCTTGTAATATTCAGTTGTATGGTGTGTCGAATACTTCATTGACTAATTGACGAGCTTTGAGATACTGATGTTTATTGGATCTTGTGACTGTCCCAATATATTCATTGTTCAGTAATGGTTTAAGTAAAAAAGAAAAGGTGAATAGTGATGGACTACTAGTAATGTCAATGTGTTGACCATGTCAGTGTGTTGTGCATTTTTTTTTGTGTGCAACTGTGATGGGGTGAGATGAATCCAGGCAATTTGAACTGAAATATGTCATCCTGCTCCTGGATCAGTAAACAAGTTGTTTTGCTCCTGAAAGAGTGAGACTGAAAAAATCTGATAAACTGCTTAAATGAGATTTTTCACTATCAGAGTTTTGCCCATATGTAAATTGCATTTCAGTCAGAGCTGTAATTCAGGATTTGTTTTATATTTCATACCATCGAAACATCTAACTGCATTCTGTCATATTCTGGCGCTCTGAATCATCGCTACATGATTCCTTTCTTGTGCTCATATGGGGGTAGCTAAGCCCTCAATTGCCACTAAATTGATTTTTTTTCAGTCATAGGACAATGTCTACTAATGGGGGCTTAGAACATCTTGATTCACTCTTTGCTGCAAACTCCCTGGTCTACTGTCGTGTTTATGCAAAAGCATTTGCATTAGCTCCGCGGCAGCTTGTGAAGTCATGCACAGTCCCTATTCATGTAGCATCCAAACACCTCATTCCCAAGTCCCTTAGCCGCTCGTACGGTCGCCGGCGGCGACCAAATGCCACCGCCTCACTCGAGCTCCGCCACCGCACGTCGCCGGCTGCCATAGCTCATTTCTTGGCCAATCCGAGCCGTCCACCACATCCCCATACTACACTCGTTCATTCCCAGTTGCCCATTCCTCCTACCTCGCCGCCGTTCGCCGGAACCTGTCGAATTTCGTCCGCCGTCCAATTGCCCGGCGATCTCCTGTCTTGGTCAAAGCTACATGGCAGGACTAGTCGTCCGCCGTGGGCAAGGACCTTCAGCGGCTTGGCGAAGAGGAGAAGGGCCACCCTTGGTCGCTGGAGGGGGAGGAGATGTCGATCGCGCTGGAGATGATGGAGGCGGAGAGGGAGATGGACAAGCGACGAAGTCGACGATGGATGGGGTCAGGCGCTTGAGAATGGCGAAGGTTTAGAGTTACTGAATAATAATTTACGATAATACCCTTACATGAATTATTATCTATGGACAAATATACCCCTCCATGTTTCTACTACCACTAAGAGTGGTGGTAGTAGAATTAGATCTCAACCCTACGATTATATACGATCAACGGCTCGGATTATTTTCTACTATAAGTAGAAAGCACCGGAGTGAGGCTCATGGTTGAAAGCATATATGCATTTGCATAATAAAGTGACAGTGGGATATTATAGAAACTTCAGTGAAAATAAACATTGAAAGATCCAAAGATTCATGAATCGTGAAGTAAAGATCCAAGACCTTAATTATACATGACAGGCTAGGAGGATGGGAGCAGAAGCAGCAGATTTAGTTGTGCTAACTGACTCGTGAAAGAAACACCATCCTGCTCCTTAAACACCTCAATCCTAATCTGACCCAGGCTCGTAATAAACCCTTTGGTATTAACAGTTGCATTAACCAATGTGAAGGTAAACAATCTATCAATTAGATCCCACTCACCCAACAAGAGGTAAGTCCATCTTGCACATCATAAGATGTTTGAGGATAACTAATATGCTTAAATGTTATTTTATGAACTTAAGCAACTCAAATTTAGCGTTGATGTAGTTTGCAGTGACACATATGTACCCCCAAATTCTGAAATTCTAATAATTAGTCCAGAGGTCTACAGTAGAATTAACATTGTACCACCTACTTTTCAACATTATGATGCAAATTGTTTCTTAGTGTCCTCATTAATGCAAGACAATCTAATCAAATAGTTTGCTGTCTAACTATCCGAAAAGATGGGTGGATGCAATTTAACAATTTATTCCAGTTTTGGATCATCTGTTTTCTGAAATACAATTTTCAGCACTAATAAAGAGCTTGGCGATCAAATGTAGGTTGTCACCATCTGAAGAATGAATGATACTTCCAATGTATAAATAATCTTTCCCTCTCTTCACTTGGAATATATTGGAACAATACATCCCAATATGCCTATTTAGATTATTTGTTCCTTGGCCAGGTCAGTTGAAAATTCAGTTTGCAACATTTGCAGATCGACTTTTATTTTTTCCATCAATAATTTCTGGTTCGACATAATATCCAAACCCTAGACCTTTTCTTCTGTGTGCGATGTGAAAGATCAACTGAAAGACATTCAACTGAAATCTCTGACTTTGAAACTGTTCTCTCCACTGTAGGAAGAAAAAAAAAGTTCATTTCTAATCCGGAAATAATCTGAAACACAGGTGTACAAAAATAATTTTTGCATTACCATACATGCTAAGCCAATTAAGGAGTGCTACATCCATAATAAGTTATGCCACACAAATGTTGCACGGTTATAAAATGTGATATCTCAAATACCCAATTCTCCAAGGATATTTGTGCCAAATGTGAATCACTAAGTCACACAAAAAGGTAAAATGGTTTGCTGGACACGCAAAATAAATAGCCATTTAAGCCAAATCATAGGAAAGAAAGAATCAAAGTAGCCATTGTTTGCTAGTCACATAAGAAGACAACCAAAGACAAAGATCACACTCAGATGTACTCATTTGAAAAGAGATCTCCATTAATATGTATGTCTAAATTCCTTCACATAACTTATTGAGTGAAAGTGTTGAACAATGTAACAATTAATTTTCTTAAAAATACCATTCATAACATCATAAAGTTTAGCCTAATGCCCTAATATACAATGCAAAGTGAAGGTATATAGAACTGCAGACAAGAGACAAGAGTGATGCCTACTAACTGCCTATATAATCCCCTGTTACCCATGGATAACGGTTCCATCTGGATCTCTTGCCACATTTCTATTGCATTATTAAAGTTAGCTAGTTCTTCATAAGAAACCGTTGATCTCATGCTTCCACTGGTATGCAAGTTGAAAGATGAGACGATGACTAATCCTGGGAAAAACTCTAGGCCCATCCAAGTTCCCTGTTGACAGTAACAAATTAAAGCAGCAAAATGTGGATTACTGGACTGTATTCTGTTCTTACATTTTCCAATCCAATATGCAGACTTCTTTGGCAACACCATCATCACCATTAGAGCCTGTGCACACACTGGTGGAGAAACCCTTTGTAGTCCCGGTTCGTAACCCCCCTTTAGTCCCGGTTTCCAAACCGGGAGTATCAATCCGGGACTAAAGATCGCTATCTTTAGTCCCGGGTGAAATAACCGGGAGTAAAGATCGAGCTGACCTTTTTTTTTTTTGCATGGATATTGGTACTCCCGGTTAAACCATGCATATATATGTTTCAATACATATATATGCATACATATATATATATATGTATATATATATATTATATTATATTATATGTATATACATGCATAATATATATGTATTTATACATATATATGTTATGCAAATGCATATGTATATAGATATATATATATGACCAAAATATATTTACATTATAGAAAATGTGTACACATGCATATAGAAACATATGTAGTCATGTATTAATTACAATCCATTATATGTCCTAGCTAGCTACGATTTCGACGTAGTAGTACTCGCTGCTAGCTCAGAAGCTAAGGACCGGTGAATTGTGTTTCCGTCGTAGTAGAATTCACCCTTGGGATCAAGGATTTCTTCGTTGATGAATCCCATGAGTTGTTCTTGAACCGCCGCGATAAATTCCTTGTGTGTGGTCAGGTTATCCCTCATGCGAATAAACTATATGAATGTATGAAATTGATTAGTAATTAAACAAGAAATCGCTACGTAATGAAATTTTGAATTTATTTGTACGTACATCGAGCTCTCTTGTGGTGATGATTTGGTCTGCAAGGCAGTGGCAATACTCGCACACGTAATAGCCGCACAAG